TTCTTACTGACCGAAATCAATCGAACGGTCGCGCAAAGGTTTTATTGGAGGCTGGCAATCATTCTCGCCGAAATGCTCAATTATACGCGCGTGGTTCGTTAACGTACCGCGCTTTTTATTGCGGCGGCAAGTTTAACGCTGAAAATTGATTAATAATCATTCACGGTCCAACTGGCCGACGTTAAAATGCTTCGCTACGAAATAATGGTGGTAGACGCGGCTTTAAAGGCGCGGAGGGTGCGGGCCGAGGGGAGGCGCCGATGGGGGTGAGCCGGCGGTGGCTGAAAAAAGAGGAGGCGCGGGACGAATCATTGATGAGCGCAGAAAAATCAACGGGGAGAGGGTCGCGCGGGCCCGCTGTCATGATTCCGTTCCGTCGACGCGCTAATAAACTTTCCGGTTCTCCCGATCCGAATTATAATTGGTAATCGAATTGTCGCTTGTCTTGTCAAAAATCTACGTTTCAAGGAGAAAAAGTACCGAAATCTATGGTTGCGAGAATGAACGCCGCGTGTCACGTGTTTCGATTTCCGACAGCTCATCGAATACGTTTCCATTGCTGTAGATAATATATAATTAAATATAATATAACTATATTATATTTAACTAATATAATATAACTATATTATATTTAACTAATATAATATAACTATATTATATTTAACTAATATAATATAACTATATATACTAATATATATATAGTATATACTATAAATACTATACTATATACCATATACTTTTATTACTATTGTATACTATATATACTATTTATAATATTATAAATTTAATTATTATTATATTTATATTACTATATACTATATATACTATATACTAATATAACTATACGAATTAGTACGTATTAATTCATAGTAGCATACTACTAAGTTGCTCGAACATATAATTTTCGCTATGATTTCTTTTGCAGCTACCTTGATCAGCTGTTCTTCGTCCTCAATCATTATAGAATGAGACAATTTTTGTATCTTGTATGTCTTTTAATAACAGAACAATCAAATTTTATTTTGATTCAGAAGAAACGAAAATTGTTTGTATTACATTTAATAGATTATGTATAAAATCTTTATCACGAGTTTGACTCGTCGTAATAGTGCAAATGGTTAAGAACTGATTACTATACGAATTACTATATACTATAAAAAAAAATAGTACATACTATATAAAGTAGCATATACTGTTAAAAATGAAGACGTATTATTGAGACTTAATATTAACTTTTAATACTTTGACTGCCACGCTATTAATCTTCAATTATATATATAATTATAAATTTATAATAAATTATATAATATATATTTTATATATATTTTAACAATCTAACGTTCTGCGGATATCAATAAAATTAGGAAGATACGACAGATCGGCGTAAAAATTAATTCTCAAATCTAGGGAAATAATTTCGTTCCAAACAAATTAATGACGGGACGGTCGAAGTGTCGACGCTAATAAATCTATCGAAGACTGAAAATGACTGACGCGTGTTGCTTTATCATAAAGAAAAAATAGTTTTTACATAAATACATGAGTTTTTACATAAAAATTGTGAAATTTCGGCCGTCAACGTTGATTTAATCTTAAGAACATTTCGTAGTACTACGAATTAGTATGTTGCTCGAGCATCATGCCGGGCAGTAAAATCTCGATTATCCGGTCCATCGGTATCGGAATTTGACCGTGAGGCAACCCTTATGTAAAATGATTCGCAGTGAAAATTACTAAATATAAAATCTGGCCATAAACTCTGTAGCTAATGCCGGAGCATTCGTTATTATAATAAATCAGTGCCGTCCTCCAATTAGCATTTAGCCGCGTAAATTACATTTGCGATAAATCTACCGCGGACCCGCTGGAACAGTACGTTAACAAACGGGATCATTTAGACGTAAAAACACTAAGCATCGGTATCATGAGTTGAAACGCAGCTCGTTAACCGAAATCGCGGCGCGATAATACGATTTTAAGCGCGTCGGGATACCGGCCGCGTCGGAAAAACTGCAGACTCATTTCGACCCGGATACATTGTACAAACCTAAATAATTTGCATCGCGAGATTTTTCTATTGTGCCGGCCGACACGGAGCGGCAAATTAACGGGCTCGCGGGTTCGCGGCCGCGCGATTGTAGACGCGCTCCGGTTCAATCAGCCCGGCCGCGGCGCCGCGATATATTGGCAATCGAGCTGCTGAATATTTTTTATTGTACATACGATTACAAAGCCCCCGCGATCGCCTGTTCGGGCACGCGGTTCTTGGAATGGATGCATGGAAATCGCGAGAACACAGAGCCTCGAAACGCGCCTCCCGCTCCCGTACGCATGCTCCCAAAGCTCTCCCGGCACTCCCGGCAGAAAGATTGTAATTCGCTCGCGTTTATTTAATTATTTCGATGCTGATTCGGTGCCGGTGATTATTCCGGCTTCTATTGGCTACGGGATACCGCTGCCTTGCGCTTTCTTGTTTACCGATACCCCGTCACGGCTGTGAATGGGTCTCTGGGTCGCTCGCATCGGCCACTTTTCCATGCAAATCCCGTATTTCGTCAAAATTTTTACCACTCGTTTCGAAACTTTTTTCTGGGTTTCATAATGTGTCGGTCTGTTGCAGAGCCGAGCGGCCGAAGAGGTGCCGTATAAATCGATGATTGAGGAGCGCTTGTGGAAAACAATGTAAATACCAAAAATATAATTTTCTAGACGGAACGGAAAACACTGCTATCTTCGTGCTATTAACAAAATTTATTTTTATCTTTACGCGTAACTAAGACTGCGATAGCTTAGAGACGTAAAATTTCTTATTTCTTACGATGATAATGATACATGAATCGTCACCGAATATTTGAAGAATAGAAAACGAAATGTTTTAATTTTGGTACTCGCATTGTTCTCTAGAAACATTTCTCATTGAGATTTAGCGGTAATTCGACGGTGGATCGCAATGCGAAATAAAAACTGTCTGCAACGATTGACAAGTGCCGAATATCAATCCCAAAATTTCCCATAATTGAAACCTTTTTATCTAACGAAACCGAAACCAGTTTCTTCGAATATATCACAATAAACGTGGCTCTCGATGCCTTGTTGAAAATGAGTGGCACCCAAATCTGATCGACGTGGCGCTCGATGCGATAAAGGAAACGGAGGTTCGATCAGAATATGTTTCTTTTAAACAACGATTTCAATATGTTTAGGACAACAACAATACTCGCCGATTCTTCCAGTTTCTTGTCTCTGTTTCGTATTCTACTGATTTTTTGCACATCATTTTGTACGATTTTTTACGCGCCAAAAGCATTGTTCATAACGAGTTAACCCGATTCCTGCGCCGCCACTTTCCCGTCGCCTAACGTCGTCGTTAAACCGTTTCATTAAATGCAGCGCGCCTACTTTGTAAACTATTCGAACAATTTAACAAACGAAAGTTATGGGCTTCCTTGTTATTATGCCATGTACTTTACACAACAATGTGCATGAAATTAATTTGACTATTTCCACGTAAAGTAGGAGGTCGCGAACGTCACGTGTGTGTGACGCCGCTAGCGAACGTGTTAATGTCGTTAATAACTAGACTGCGGAATTTATGCATTTGTGACAAAAATGAGCAGATCAAACGCTAAACGGTAACGACATTCAGCGAATTTCAAAACACTATTACAATGTTTTTCTAAACCTGTTTTTTTCAATTATAGGCGGCGGTCTACCAACATCGTATGTGTTAAGTTAAGTATGTGAAAAGTAGTGATTTAAAGCCAAAAATAAGTTTAACCCGAGAAAGATAACCTACATCGCAGAGGCGCCTGCGAAGACTGTTGATTTTTGTTAATTTTTCATAGAGGTCTAGTGATTTAAGTTTAAAATTACTTAAAATATAAAAAAATATAATATAAATGCATTTCATTTTTACAATAATGCCAAACCTTTAAAATGACTAGATTAACTTAAATAAATATCCATTGTTAGTATAAAATTGACGCCTTAGAAAAGCATGCGCCTCT